ACACGTCTCCAGCTGCTGCATCCGTGCTTGTAATATTCTTCCCAGCACCACCAGCAGTGTCACTCGCGCTTTCCTCGTGTGCTGGGGAAACTGTCCCCATAGTCACCATTTCATCGCCCGTCGTTGCCATCGTTGCTGCTGCTGTTGGTGTCGCTGGTGTCGCATTTTCCTGTGCATCGCCCCTGCGCCCCACAACGTACTCCTCGGCGGGCTTTCCGCCCCGCTGCCGCCCAAGCAGCATCAGCCAGGCCCTGAACACCATCGCCTTGATCTCCGACACGGGTTTCACCGCCAGCGTGCGCATGAACGAGCGAACGGCGTCAAGCGGACGCTTCACAAGGGCGTAGATGCTGTTGAGCACGCGCAGCAGCGGAATAAATGCCTGCAGGCACGTGTTGAATGTGGACAGGAGGAGGTACAGGCCGTTCTTGAGGGAGTCGGATAGGGTGAGGTTCCATAGGAAGGAGAAGCGAATGCGGATTTGCGTCAACAGTGCATCGAACGGCGAGAGATAGGAGCTGAACCAGGACAGCGCGGAGAGCGATGAGGACACCAGCCGGTACATCGCCCGCAGCCCATTCTCAATCACCTGCACGTACAACACACACACACACACATACAAATGTAGACACGGATGTTGCCGTGCATACACCCACAGATACACACAGAGAGAGAAATGGCAGGGTGGGTGGTGAGCCGAGAGAAACGTTGTTGACAACACAGGCGGCAAGCAGGGTGTAGGGGGGGGAAGGGGTGTGCTCAGCTGAACCACGAACAACAACAACAACAACAACAACAACAACAACAACAACAACAACAACAACAACAACAACAACAACAACAACAACAACAACAACAACAACAACAACAACAACAACAACAACAACAACAACACCAACACCATGCACGGGTACGCACGAGAGGAAGGCCTGGCGTTGGGAGGAAGGAGAAGAGGAAGCGGCCGGCAGAGGAGAGAAAGCGGAGGGCAAGGTCGCGGCGCGCGCGACTGAGCAGGTCGTGCGAGATGCTGGTGATGATCGGGAGAAACAGGCTCGACACGTAAAACAGGTTGATGATGGGCATGGCAAACGTCATAAAGTACGCAATGTATCTGCGCACGGTGACGCTGTTGTACAGCTCCGGGTGCCACGCGACGCTCAGCACCACCTCCACCCAGTAGGGGAACACCTCCACGTAGGCGATACGGTCGCGGCAGACGGTGAGAAAGTCGGCGCGCGTCTTGATAAACGTGGATGCCTCGAGCGTGATGATGATTGGGTAGGAGGGCTCCGCGAGTCGAACGCGTTCAGGCAGGCTCAAAATGCGCATGAAGCGCTGCCATTCCATAAAGGCGGCAAACACGAGGAGAAAGAGGATGAGGATGTGCAAGGTCCACCCAAACTTGATCTTGCACAGCACCATGTTGACAAAGTCCAGGGCGGAGAGCCCAAACAGGACGGGCTCGTAGTGGCTGAAGAACGTGTTGACTTCGCTGTGGAGGAGGCGGTGCAGGCTGAGCATGCGACTGACGACCATCACCAGCGTCACCAGCACGGCGCTGGCGGGGCCCAAGCAGTGGTTGAAGAAGCGCGCCAGCAGCATGAGCAACATCACCGAGCGAAGCCAATCCAGCCACTCGCTGTGCTTCAGACCAGACGTCTTCTTCACAATCATCGCCTGCCCCAATATGTCCTTGCGCGTCGCCTCCGAGTAGATGTCCATCCTGACCATTGGGAGAGAGTGAGTGTGAGTGAGTGTGCGCGCGCGCGTGTGTGTGAATGTGAGTGTGTGAGTGTGTGAGTGAGTGTGTGAGTGTGTGTGTGTGTGTGTGTGTGTGTGAGTGACTCAACTGAATGGTGACATGGTGGTGTTTTGCTCGTCGTTTCAACACATCACAACAGTAAAGTCCAGCACCGCTCACCGAATGCAGACGACGTCGCAAACGTGGCAGCTCCCCTGGTTGCCGGCATCATCGATGTAGGAGATGATGGAGTTGTTTGCGTCGTTTGCGTCGCGCTCCAGTTTCAGGTTCGTGTCGCGGATGCGCACGGGCTTGGTCAGTTCGCCAATGATGTCCTTCATGCGGAAGAAGAGCGTGCGCGCTGGGCGGGTTAGCCTTGGCGCCAACCCCTCCTCTGCCGCCTTTTGTGTGCCCTCTGCCGGTTCTGCCTCGGCTGCCTCGCGAAGGGAGGTCAGGCACCCCTCACTGCTGGATGGTTTCAGGTACTGCAACAACAGAACAGCACGTGGGCGGAGAGTCACGTGTGAGCTCAAAGGACAGGAGGAGCAAGGGACAGCGGACAGAGGAAAGCGGGCAGAAGGAAAAGAGCAAGACATCGTGCATGCGGGAAGATGTTTGTGTGCATATGTATGAATGTGTGCATGTGTCTGGTTATGCTGGAGTGTCTGATCAACACCTGGTCTGTAAATCGTCGCCTTCGCACTGGCGGGCTCGTCTGAACAAGGAACACGCGAGTGCATGCACATATGAAACCACAGGCGCCAACGAATCATGACTTGCGCAGACAAATCACACAGTCAGGTAACAGATGACACACACGCACACAGACACAGACACAGACACAGACAACCACAAAGATACACACACATATGCACACCCACACCCACACACGGACATGCATGAAGGGGCAAAGACAAGCAAGCGAACAGGTAATCAAGCGGACGGACACATACCAAGGCGTCCAGGCCACGGGCGTGCAGCTCATCGGAGAGTTGGTCCAATGGCGTGTGTGCTAGATGATCCTGCGTCGGACGACGATCGCGCGGCGGCGTCTCGGGACCCTGCTCACGCGGTCCCAAGTCCATGGTGGCCACGAATAACGAGGGGGCAGGCTTGGGCTGTTGTATATCACTCACTCACTCACTCACTCACTCACTCACTCACGCGCTCAGCGAAATGCCTTCACACACCACACGCACTGTCACCCCAGTCGCTTGCTTGCTTGCGAACCAATAATGAATGCGCATGCGCCAAAGCACAGCCGCCACCACACAACCGAATCAATCCTATTTGTGTGTATGTGTCGGCTTGCTGAATGGTGTTCCTCTCTGACGTGGTAATTGATGTATGTCAGTGTGTGTGTGTGTGTGTGCGTGCGTGTGTGAGGTGTGTCCTTTCCCTTCCCACACTCCACACTTGTGTCGGCCTCAATGTGGACAGCCGCAACCCTGACTCCTCAAATCAAAAGGCGTGACACTCGCAGGTGCGCCGTTGGCAATACGAAAAATAGTAGAAAATACAGCAATTCCTCTACAACGACGACGGGTGACAACGATGATGACGCAGCAGCAGGGTGTGGTGGTGATGCTTGTGTCACTGGTGGTGATTGTGTTGGTCAGTGGTGTGTTGAGTGCTGCCGACACAGCTGAAGGAGCTGCAGTTGGCAGTGGCGCTGTTCGCGTTCCTGAGAAGTGCCAACAGTTGATGGATGCTTACTGCAACAGCCCCGTTGAGAACGCACCTGTATGTAGCAACACAGTAGTGCTGCGTGCTTGTTATCGTGTTTGCATCGCGCGTGTTTGTGCTTGCACATACGCGTGGTGTGTGGTTGTCTGTGTGTGTGTGTGTGATCGTGTATGCATGTATATGCGTCTTTGTCTTGCATTCCACACTTATGCGTGGTGTGTGTGCGACTAGCACTTTCACTTTCATGTTTGTAGTGCTGTGTGTTCCGTGATGCCCTACACAAGCAATCTCGTGCAACCACCCACTCACTGAACGCTGTTGTTGTGTGGTATGTTGTGACAGTGCCTACACGCGTTGGAGGAACACAACCATCCGCTGCCACTGTATGCGCGCTTCGACACAAATGCACAGCATGGACCAAAGCAGTGGCGATGCTATTCGTCGGATGCCCTCGATTCACGTCAGGTTTTCATTGGCGTTTGAACCATGTGCCTGCCATCAAGAAGGCAGCGCAGTTGTGTATGTGTGAGCGTGTGTGTACGCATGTATGCCTCTGTGTACTCGTATGCGTGTGTGAGTTGCAAAATGTGCAATCGCAGGTGCACACACAATCGCACACACAAAAGTCGCACATGCACACAAAAGCACACGCACACACGCACACACACACACACACATGCACACAAAAGCACACGCACACGCACACACACACACACACACACACACACACACACACACACACACACACACACACACACACACACACACACACACACACACACACACACACACACACACGATCACTCGCACGCGCAATCGCACACGCAATCGCACACAATCACTCAACTAATCCACATGTATGCCATTATCTGCCTGGTAGGAAACCAGTCGTACGTGAAGGGGACTGGATACTGCACTCGCGATGAGCAGATTCGAGCGGTGATTGCAGATTGCGAAGCCAACGTGACTTTGGTGGATGTCTTCACACCCGGAGAAGCAGGGTGAGCGCACGTGTTTGTGTGTTTGTGGGGGTTGAGTTGTTGCGATCGCTTGCTAGAATGCCCACGTGTTGTATGCGCTGCGTGTTGTGTACGCCGCCTTGGCTGTGCTCATTCGTGGAACTCACTCTGCACGGCGCCATCACTTAGATATCCCTGTATTCGCATTCCGTCCTTGGTGTTGGTGGGTGATGGGTCGCTGCTTGCATTCGCCGAGGTGCGTATGGTGCTTGTACGTCGTCGCAATGGCCACCACTGCTCGCCTGGTGCGGTGCCTTGCACTTGCCTTGCGACTGGGCCGGGAGACCAAAGTTACAATCAAACTTGGTGCAGCGGCCACACCAACTGACAACTCACACGCACCACCATCACCATCACCACCATCACCTCACACGCACCACCATCACCATCACCACCATCACCTCACACGCACCACCATCACCATCACCACCATCACCTCACACGCACCACCATCACCATCACCACCATCACCTCACACGCACCACCACCACCATCACCACCATCACCTCACACGCACGAGCTTCACCATCACCAGCATCGCCTCTCATGCACCACCTTCACTATACACCCGCAGCCCCACACACGCACAGCCGCATATCACCTGATTACCTCGCATGCCTACCTCTATGGATACCCCTGCTCATACATGTCAGACCGACGAAACCCGATGGACATATCGGTCCTACACATCATCACACCCACTATATATGATGCAGAGTCCGGGAAGAGAA